GGACATATATATTGCGGAGAAAATCCGCTAGCTGTGGTTAATACCAGGATCGTAATCCTAATGTGCATATTTTTTTTCTAATTCACTACTATAAAAAGCATTTTTGCAGGCGGCCAAAAGTAATTTTTCTAGGGGGAGGACTGCTTTTAGCCCAACGACGATGATTTTCGTAGACAGGGCAAGGACCCGCCTGCGAAAATGCAATGAACGAAAAAAAAATCGCGAGACGCGCCTCGCCGCCGCCGCCCCCGCCGGCCTCCCCCCTCCCTCCTTCGACCTGGCCAGATCTGGGAGGGGGGAGGGGAGCCACCGCCCCACGCCGTCGTCGCCGCCTTCGTCGTTGCCCCTCCCTCCTCTGGCCAGATCTGCGAGGGAGGGAGGGAGGGGAGCCGCCGCCGGCCGCCCCACGCTGCCGCAGTCACCGTCCCCGTTGCGTCCGCCGCGCCTGGAGCCGCTGTCGCTCCCCCTCCGGCGGGGAGGGATGGGAGGGGAGGAGAGGGCCGGGGACGGGCCGGTGTGGAGTGGAGACTGAGTGTTGAGGGGGAGAGAGAGAGAGTTGAGAGGAAATGAGTGGTGGGGAGGGGTAGGAGGAGAAGATAAGGGTAGACTTAAGATTTTTTTTTTGGGTAGGTACGATTTTTGCAGACGGGTCACTTAAACGTATGTGGTCCGCCTGCGAAAATAGACAGCGAACTTCACCCCGATTTAATTTTTTTTGTAGGCGGTCATTTGGCTCTAAGGGTTATGTCCGCCTATGAAATCTCTTGTCGGGAAAAATGCTTTTTCTAGTAGTGATTGGTCCTGGTGTGGAGTGGTGGTATATATATGCACAATTATTTATACTGCACATCTATAATTATATATGTCATCTCCTTAATAATTAATTTAGTTGCAAAGTTGACATTGTGCGATATACACTACAAGAATCTATTTAATCTATGACGAAAATAATTTGTCATGGATCACTGAAAATTCGTCACAGGAATTTGTTTGTGGCGATTATACTTATCGTCATCTATTGAGCGTCACATATTAAATCTGCCGACGTTTTCTCTGAAATCGTCATGGATCAGCACAATCTATGACGTTTCTGAACTGTCATAAAATGTTTATAGGCTCGTGTAGTCCAGCCCAGGCCCAACCTTTGTGACGAAATTAAACGTCACAGATGGTTGCCACGTGGCGGCCAATATGGCTGGTGACGTGGTCGTTTTGACACGTGTGAGATGACATGTCACTGATGACGTGGCAGCTGACGTCAGGAATTTTTTTTATACGGCCCATTATTTTTTTAAACGGCCCATTATTTTTTTACGGCCCATTAATTTTTTTAATTGGCCCATTTTAAAATAGGCCCATTTTAGAACTAGGCCCATTTCAAAACTAGTCCATTTTGTCAACTAACTATCAGATCAAAGCCCACTAAACAGACCCATTAAATTTGAGCCCACCAAATTCAATCCAATCTCTCATACCATTTCAGATTCAATTAAATTTGAGCCCACCAAATTCAATCCAATTTCTCATACCATTTTATATTCAAACATAATTACAGATACCATCTCAGATTCAACTAATAACAGATACAATCAGAATACAACAGAATTCAAACAATAGTTCATCTCAGATTCAACCTAATAGCAGTCTCAAATACTTCCAGCATCAAGCAATAGTTCAACAGCGCAAGCAACAAAAATTTGTGTAGCAGAACCAAGCTACCAACTTGTCCAAGTTGAAGAATCACACAACATTCAAGCATACCCAATTTTGGTTCAACAAACACCTTAAAACACTTGCAGCACCAAAAAAATCGAAGTAGCAGGTTTAGGTTCCCTCCACACCAGCAGGACCTGCAGCACCAAAAAATCGAAGCACCTGAAATATTAGTCATTAAAACTAGTGCAGAATTTCAGCAGAGAAAATATCAAGAGTCAACATATTAGAAACATGTATATCAGCCTCAGCTCATTTTAGAATATTTAAGTAGATGATGTTGCTTAAGTAGGATTTATTGAACTGCACATATCATTTAGAATGTTCATTGGATTAAACATAGTGACCAAGATCAAAATTCTGTTGAACAGGTACATCACAGCACAATGTAACACTATACTCTAAATTTCAAGATCTAACATGTTAAGTGTCTTAAGGATTATCAATATGACATACATATAAACTTGCATACCTTCTTATCTACTAGAGCCTGGGGCACGCCACCTGTACGCAACAAGGGCTGGAAAATCATTTGGTGATTAACGGTGAGTAATCAACAAGGAAATTTTGAGGCATTCAAGGAACAAAGCACAGCAAAAGAGGTGGTCATAAATAAATTAATGACTGTAGAACCTGTATACTGACAGGTCCATTTATAGATGGTAGCTAGTCTACATATGTAAGGTAGTGCACCATGGATGCTAAGCATAGAGAAGAGAATTCAGTTCTTATAACAAGAAAAAGTGTTCCATTTAAGACCTAAACATTTGATTTGGCACAGCCAGCCATAATCTGAGAGAGAGTGAGTTCGTCACATAGTGTAGCTTTTTATCATCAGGCTTGGTATCAGCGTGAGAGGCACTAATCAAATGAAAATGTAACATAGCGCATGATATGGTCATCACACATAAATAATAAGAATGCCTCACAAAGGACGGCGTTGTTGCAGCGCTTGCAGTGGCTAATCAGATTTGAACATAGCAAGCCATAGCAAGCCACATTCAGCGTCCCTCCTTTGAATTAATTTCAAAATATTAAACCTTCGAATCGAATTTTATCTTACTAAATGAACTTATGAAAAAGTTATTAAAAATAAAGTTGTATAACTTATTGAGATTTACCAATCTTATTTTGGTTATTTCTCCATCTGAGTTTAATTGACCTATATAAAATTTGAATTTCAAATTATGACAACTTCAAACAATATTTTCAAATACTAAACGATTTCAACTAAAAAAGTCATCAACAATAAAGTTGTATAAATCATCAATATCTACAACATTTGTTTTGGTCATTTTGCTATATGACTCTGTTTCAATAATTTGAATTTGAATTTCAAATTATAACAACTTCAAACAACATATTCAAATACTAAATGATTTCAACTGAAAAAGTCATCAACAACAAAGTTATATAAATCATCAATATCTACAACTTTTGTTTTGGTCATTTTGCCATATGACACTGTTTCAATAATTTGAATTTGAATTTCAAATTATAACAACTTCAAACAACATTTTCAAATACTAAATGATTTCAACTGAAAAAGTTATCAACAACAAAGCTATATAAATCATCAATATGTACAACTTTTGTTTTGGTCATTTTGCAATATGACTCTGTTTCAATAATTTGAATTTGAATTTCAAATTATGACAATTTCAAACAACATTTTCAAATACTAAACGATTTTAACTGAAAAAGTCATCAACAACAAAGTTGTATAAATCATCAATATCTATAACTTTTGTTTTGGTCATTTTGGTATATGACTCTGTTTCAATAATTTGAATTTAAATTTCAAATTATGACAACCTGCAAACAACATTTTCAAATACTAAATGATTTCAACTGAAAAAGTCATCAACAACAAAATTGTATAACTCATCAATATCTATAACTTTTATTTTTGTCATTTCTTCATCCGATAAAGTGATAGTAACATTGTTTACAAAATTTACATTTCTCTTATATAGTTTTGATGAATTTAAATCGTGACGAAATTGCTATAACGTCACAGGTTTTGGGCCGGTTTATGACGAAATCGATAAACTGTCACGGTATTATGGGCCTGTATTATGGGCCTTGTATCCATAGTTGCATATCCGTGACGATATCTTAAAACATCACGAAAATTTCGTCAAATTTCGTTACAGATTAAATAGATTCTCGTAGTGATAGTCCTATATGATTAGGACATAACTAACCATGCATGCAGATAACCTGTTAGCCCTGAACCCTAATGGCTAATACCACGTAGTGTTTATGCAAATTACGGTGTGTGACTGTGAAACCTGACAGGGAAATCGCGCCTATGTATACATGGATATTAGACATACTAAGGGCAGCGGGTAATATCAGAGGGCCGAACGAGGTATATGTACATTGATACCTTGTAAAATAAAATAACAGAACTATCTTTTTAGATAGCTGATGCATGCTCATATATGTATTGAAATCTCTAAGAAGAAATAAGCAAAGGTTGTGAGTAAATTCTCCTTTGCTAGCTAGTTTTTCTTTTGAGAGGGTTAAGTCCTAATTCACTAGTTGATAAGTAAATAATAGTTTATTTACTGCAACTGTTAAGAGAAAAGGAGCGAGAGGACGATTGACCACGAACTAGCCAACAAATTAGGTGATGTGAGAAGGACGTACTGTGAGATTAATTGGTAAATGGTTTGCTAAGGTGAAGTTGTCGCCGGGCCGTTAATTTGTTAATTGAACTTAATAGCCTACCTCGGTTAAATCTCAGCCACGATTATTAACTGACATGTAAAGTCGTCGATACTGATCAATTACGTACAAGTGTCCGTTTGGATACCATTTACCATTGCTCAGTATCGTATCTAACCAATGTGCATCTCCCTCGCTATATTACAACATACTCCCTCCGTTTCTAAATATTTAACGTCGTTGACTTTTTTAAACATGTTTGACCGTTCGTCTTATTAAAAAAATTTAATTAATTATTAATTATTTTCCTCTCATTTGATTCATTGTTAAATATATATACTTATATGTATACATATATATATATATAGTTTTACATATTTCATAAATTTTTTTTAATTTGACGAATGGTCAAATATGTGAGAAAAGGTCAACAGTGTCATCTATTAAAAAACGAAGGGAGGGATCAGTATATTATTAGCGCCATTTGAGAGCCAGTTCGTCTATAAATACAGCCGAATTGCATTGCCATAATTATCACCTCTACTTCTACTGCTAGCTAGCAGCAGCTCGATCGATATAGCTATACCATATATGGAGAGCGTTCCAAGGAAAGGAGCTGCCTGCCAGTGCTTTGCTGTGGTGGTGACGGCCATTGTTTTGATGGCAGCCACGTCGGCGGCCGGGGAGGACACGGCGCAGGACTTCGTGGACCTGCACAACGCGGTGAGGGACGAAGTCGGCGTGGAGGAGGTGACGTGGGACGACACCGTGGCGGCGTACGCGGAGTCCTACGCGGCGCAGTGCCAAGCCGACTGCCAGCCTGTAAGCACGAACAACGGAACAGCCACCTACGGGGAGAACATCTACGTAGTCGTCGGCCCCGCCGGCGGCAACGACACGTCGTCGTCGCCGGCCGCCGCGGCCGTGGGCGCTTGGGCGGCGGAGGAGCAGTGGTACGACCCCGACACCAACGGCTGCTCGGCGCCGGCGGGGGAGTCGTGCGACCACTACACGCAGCTGGTGTGGAACGCCACCACGGCCATCGGCTGCGCCGAGGTCGTCTGCGACGGCGACGCCGGCGTCTTCGTCATCTGCAACTACTACCCGCCGGGCAACATCCCAGACCAGAGCCCCTACTAGCTAGGTTGCTTTGCAACCTGAAGTGTGTGTGGTGTCTATATATATATATATATATATATATATATATATATATATATATATAGCCACGTTATATATTATACTCGCATGCGATCATGCATGCATGCATATACGGTTCGTACATACATAAATACCCTATATGCTCTCTACGTACATACTACTAGTATGTGCAACGCATACTATATGTACGTACCTACGCACGTTAATCTAAGACGATATCTGCATGCATGTGTTTGATGGAATAAAAGTAGTCATCATTCACATCATGTGTTTCCTATTACCTATATATATGCATCATGTATGCAGGTGTACTGTACAACGTTTTTATATATCCTAGTAATTGTGGTTTTGCTAAAATAATCTCTATCCCACATTTAATTTGTCTCCCCTTAAATAAGGTAAGGGTGCGAGCAGGGTCGACCCATAAACCCACTTATATCTCCCTTCCTCCCATAATATAAGGGATTTTGATATTTTGCTTGCACTGTTTGACTATTTGTCTTATTAAAAAAATTTAGAAATTATTATTTATTTTATTCGTGACTTACTTTATTATCGACAGTACTTTAAACATAATTTTTCGTTTTTAATATTTGCACAATTTTTTTGAATAAGACGAGTGGTCAAACGTTACAAGCAAAAAGTCAAAATCCCTTATATTATTGGATAGAGAGAGTATAAGCTAATTAAGTGGGAAATCTACAGGTCAACCCATTTAATTAGCATATAATTGGGTTTTCTGCTCGATCCACTTGGACTTTTGAAACCAGTCAAGTTAATTTGTGCCTGCAGTTGATTCACTTTTTCATCTTTGCGGAAAGTATTTTTGTGCGGCGCCTACATACATGTGGTTTAAATATTTGTATAAAAATTAATAAATTTTGGCAAGATAGATGAATATGCAAGTCTAAATGAGATCTACACCTAGAGAAAAAAAAACAAACTCTTAGTTGGTATAGCGAAAACAGGAAAGTATAAATTAGCTTTAGTATTAACTAGGAATAGAAGAGGAGAAAATCCAAATATCCCCCTTCAAGTCAATAGTCTTTCCATACTCCTTCCTACAACCGAGTTCCGTACAAAACACTTCTCACAAGTTCATTTTCACTTCCAGATTTCCATCTTTATCCAATTTTCCACGATTTATCGTGCCCCATGGGCCTCCACCATGATGCCTGAAAGTTGCCTCTTGCCATCAAAGGTGTATACCTCGGCATCCTTCCAACATTCCATTTTGCACGCTTTAATTCCATGAAAGGTACGGCGGTAAAACATGACGGCATTCGCATACTATAGAAAAGGTGTATCAAATCTCATATCCAATAAGGAAAGACATAGGGAGCAACTTCGCTCACCAAGCTGGAGATCCACAAGATGTGAGAAATCGTTGAGCGTGATCAGAAAAATTCGTTAATACTAGACTGAGGTGTTATGTTGAAAGAGAGAATGGACTTATGGGGAGAATTTTGCACGAAATTAAATTACAGTAGAATATTTGAAAGACCTGTGACTTGTAGTGTTATTTGAATTTTCCCTATCTAGAAACTAAATGAGGCTATTAGCATGTTACAATCTCGGTGTATATATACTCCTTCTGGTAAAAAAATATGTTTTTTTATGATAAGATTTGGTCTAACTATTAAAATTCCAACAACTAATTTTATGTTATAATAAATTTATAATATAGAGGCAATGTGATCAAAGAGGCTTGCCTTGCACAAGATGTGGGTCTTCTTCCTCGAAGGCGGCGTCCGGAGCTTCCTCGTACTCAGGTTCTATACGCGGTGAAAAAGTAAAACTAATCAACAAAAGGCAATAAAACAAGCTTAAATCGCAGAAACAACAGTGCCACCATGTAGATCTCAATTTTAGAAAAATTTGGGAAGTTGAACGGGGTCAAACAGAGTTACGGTTGAATTTCTACGAATTTCCAAAGATTAAATGATTTCTCTATAATTTATTTATTAAACGGCGAGAGTATATTCCATTGGAATATTCCACTAACGCGGACAGCCCAAGGACGGGCCTACCTGTCGGCGAATGATGGAGGAAATAGGCGCGGGCCCGACTATTAGCAGCTCGTGATGAGGACACGGCTACGGTGACTGGATTTTGTCCCGATGTTTCACGGTACCAAATAACAACTAATAACAAATATCGAGAATTTATAGTAACTGCAATCAATAGCAGAATTCAATCCACCCGTGTTCTTCACACAAATAGATGTGAGGATCTTCAACAGATCTCGCCTTTCTCCAAACCCTAGCAGCGGCAGTATATTTTTACCATAGGGAAGATGGAATCGATCCCGAAGAAAACCAATCTAATCTGTTTGATACATGACCGACTTGGCCTTATTCGTGCGCGCAAGCACAGTTAGAAATATTATATCATAGACTGACATTAGTGTCGGCGATATGTATATCATAATTAATTAAATGAAATCAAATTAAGCAACTGAAAAAAACAGTCCCTCATCTATGAATGCATGCAAGAGTAAACTATATATAGTTACCTATATTAATTATTTGATTTATGCACCGGCCAGCAGCTTCTTTCACAGCATCTCTAGCTAGCTTGCATCTTCCACAAAACTGATCGATGCATTGATCAACTTTGTTGCATTTTTTGGTCGGCCCGGCCATTCACGGTAGGTCGATCCATACGTCAAATCCGAACAGAGAATGATGAATTCCCCTGAGAATAATGAACGAGCTAATTAATCTTCTGGAAGGCCAGGTATATAGTACTATTAATTAAGCTATGTGCCTATGTGCATGCACATAGCCACATGCATGAACGAACGATATGAAGTAACTTAAAACTTTCCAAAATAGATATATATGTGCCTTTTGCAGTTGCTACTCCATGAACAAGTCTAAGTAATTGTTGCCAAGTTCATCCATTAATCCTGTCAATCGCGTGCTTGCCAATTCTTGCCCCACCAGCCGGCCAACCCTATTGGAAAAAAAATTACCTTCTCTGAACATTTCTTCAGTTTATACTAGTACAGAATTGTAACTTGCAGAATAATTAATCATCGATCCCTCTTTTTCCAAAAAAAAAATCATCGATCCAACACTATAAATACCAGGCATATATAGCCACAGTGATCATCTCTCTCTCGATCTCTTAATCTACCTTGTGTCCAAGAGCTTAATTAGCTAGCACTAATGGCGTGGTCATCATCAAGAAGCCCAGTAGCGTGGCTGTCACTCGCTGCAGTTCTTGCGCTGGCGGCGGCGCCGTCCATGGCGCAGAACTCGCCGCAGGACTTCGTGAGCCCGCACAACGCGGCGAGGGCCAACGTCAGCGCGGCGGCGGCGGCGTGGAACGACACGGTGGCGGCGTACGCGCAGAGCTACGCGGCGCAGCGGCAGGGCGACTGCAAGCTGGTCCACTCGGACTCCGGCGGGAGGTACGGCGAGAACCTCTTCTGGGGCTCCGCCGGCGGAAACTGGACGGCGGCGAGCGCCGTGTCGGCGTGGGTGTCGGAGAAGCAGTGGTACAACCACACCAGCAACAGCTGCTCGGCGCCGTCGGGGCAGTCGTGCGGGCACTACACGCAGGTGGTGTGGCGCAGCTCGACGGCGATCGGATGCGCCCGCGTCGTGTGCAACGGCAGCCTCGGCGTGTTCATCACCTGCAACTACTCGCCGCCGGGCAACTACATTGGCCAATCCCCCTACTAACGACTGTCCACAACGCAGGACGCAGCTGCACGCAGGACTATCGTATATACTCCTATGTAATGTAATCCTTCGTTTTATTTTACAGTACTTCACATGCATATATAGTACCCTCGTTCGTCACCCGTAGCATTTAGTATATATACTACCTACATCCCTCTATGTCAAATAAAAAAGATCGGGGTAGTATATGGTTATGTATGTATGTATGTATGTATGTACATGTGCCAGTGAGAAAAGCATGTCAGATTTGCCTTTGGGGGTTTAACTTGTACGTACAGTGATTTTTTTTTCTAAAAGTAATGGAAAGAAATCGGGACTCTATATCTAAAAGTGAACATACGTTGATACGCAGCCAAATGTTACACAAGTGCATATACACTAAATCTTAAAGTTAAGATTAAAGAAAAAAAACAACCAAAAAGAAAAGAAGACTAAGCTTGAAGCTTTTCCTTCATGCTATTAAACAGGGAAAAGCGGGAGCTAGCCCGCCCTCCCACCGCCATATATACAACCACCACAACAACTCCTTCGTTTCATCATTAGCAAGGAAGAGGACAGAACTAGTCCGCCCAACTGCCTTATCGTTACCACGTACCAGCCTCACGTTGCTCGAGCAACCTATGCCCACCACTACACAAACGAGTCCGTCATGGCCATTCCATCATCGTAAGAGAGCCCAACGTTCACCGAGTTGCCATCGTTTATCTCACCAAAAGTTGACACTACTCCGCCATCGATGTAAAATAACATGACATCCATTGTCCCCGCAATGTGAACGAGCTCACCACCACCCTACCATAGTTACCATATTGCCTCACATCCGCTGAGCCACTAAAGCTTATCTCATGGAAGAGCCGTTGCCACCATGCCGTTGTGGCCACAAACCACAACCTTTGTTGAGCTGCCATAGTTTATTTCCCCCAGAGAGCCTTTGCCGCCACACCGTCATCGCATAGCACGACCTCCAATGTGCTGCCAACACAGACAATCTCATCGGTGAACCATCGTCACCATGTCGTGTAGCACCCATATTTTATGTGCTTTTATTTAAAAATTTGTCATTTAAAAATTGGAGTTAATTTGGTTCTTAAATGTTTTTGTGCCAATTTGGATCTCAAATCGTCTCTTATAATTTCCTTCAAATTTCCATGAAACCCTAGGGCAAATTCAAATTCAAATACCTCTCAAATATCTCCTCAAAATTCAATTCCAAAATCCTTGAGAAATTGTGAAACAGCACTGTTCGAATTGGGCCTCTTCCTCTCTTTTCTCTCCCAGGCCCAACTGCCCTCCACCCCTCCTCTCTTCTCTCTTTCCCTAAGCAGGCCGGCCCAGCCCAGCCCACTGCTATTCATCATCCCCTTCCTCAGGACAGCCAGCTCAAGTGCACGCAGGGTGTTCGACGAAATGTCTCACCGAGTCGCCGCACCGTTCCACCATCGTGACCGAGCCGCTTTGCACCGAGACGCCTCCCCGTGCACCACGCCTCGCGCCAACACCCGCGCCACACCTCCCCGGCACCAAACCTTTGGCGCGTCGCGCCAAGCCCGACCTCGCTCCGGTTTCTCTCCGGGAGACACGGAGCCACGTCGCCTCGCGTCACCCCGTCCCGTCGCCGTCCACTCCATCTATCCCGTCGCCCGTCGCATCGACCCCGACGGATAATGGCCGCCACCTCACTCGTCGTCATCCCTAACCCTAGGCCGAGTCATTCTCTTATCCGATCATCTCCCTTATCCGTTCTCGTTGCTTCGTGAGGAAGGATCTTAGCCTCCGAGCTGTGTCTCTCTCTCTTTCTCTCGCGTCTTGTCGCCACCGCCGCATGACGCCGCTCCCGTCGCCTCGCGCCGTCACCTTGGCCATCGCGTCGCCGCCTCACATCCGCGGACGCGCGTCTCCTCGCCGTCGCCTCGTCGTCTTGTCGATTGTCTCCTTCCGAGAAGTCGCCGAGCCGCGTCTCTCCCTCACTCTCGCGTTCCATCGCCACCGCCGTGTGACGTCGCTCGCATCGCATCGATCTGAGAACCCTACCGCCCAATTTCCGGCCATAGCCGCCGTCGGCCGTGCGTCATCCTTATCCCGTCGCCAAACTCGCTCTCCGCACGTCTCTTCGCATCGCGTCGCGCCATCACCATCGCCGTCCATCGTCTGTCTTGTGCGTCGCTTCACATCCCGTCGCCACCGGTGCATGACGCAATGTCGTCGCATCGCCGTCCCGTCCTCCCAGGAATCCCGCCCTAGTTGCTAGCCGTCTACGCCCGGAGCTCCGCGCCTAGACTGCCAGATCGACACCGCGTCGCCCGCCTATAAATGGGAAGCAGCCCGAGCTCCTTCTCCCCACACCATCACCATCTCCACCTCTCTCTCCTCTCTCACTTTCGCTCGTTCTCCTCTCTGTGTCGCTGTCTATAGCTGCTGTGCCGCGCCTTCTAGCGCCGCCGTCGCCGGCGGTGCCTTGCCGGAGCTCCGCCCGAAGTCGCCGCCGCCTCCCCGGCCGTCGGCTGCCGAGCAGAGCCTCGCCGCCGTGGCACATCGCTGCCTGGGACTGGGATAGAGCAGCGCGTGGAGGAGGAAGACAACCTCCTCAGCCGCTGACAACCGGGTCCCACGCCCCTTTTCCTCCATCTTGCCACTGACAAGCCGGGCCCATGCCTTTCCCCCTCCAGTCAACCGCTGACAGGTGTGCCCCCTCCCTTTGCTGTTAGTCTAGCGGAATATTCCAACGGAATATTCCCTTGCCGTCCAATAAATAAATTCCAGAAAATGCTTCTATCCTTTGAAAATCCGTAGAAAATCAACCGTAAGTCCGATTGACCCCGTTCAATTTCCTAAATTTCTCTAAAATTGAGATCTATACAGTGGCACTATTTTTTCTCTGGTTTGAGCTTGTTTTATTGCCTTTTGTTTATTAGCTTTGTTTTCGCGTTAAGAGCCCGAGTTCGAGGAAGCTCCGGACGCCGCTTTCGAAGGAGAAAACCCCAACCCTGTGCAAGGCAAGCCTCTTTGATCACATTGCCCCTATATTTGCAATGATATGTTGTTTGCAAAAATGCATTGCTAGTATACACAATTAACATGTTAGGCCTCGGATTGTTTATACAACCGACGGATCAACCTAGTAGTCGCACTTATATTTCATAGGTTGATGTTTCCATACCTTTGATAGCTCCACAAATATTTGCGCCGGTATCATTATACGATTACCAAGGTAGTTTCGCTTAGCCATGCTTACGTTGTTGCCGTGTGGAAAACTTGGGTTATTCCAAATTACATGTTTAAAAATCCGGTACGTTGTACCGAGGAGTTGTGAAATAAAATGTGTTGTGAAAGTGGTGATGATGCGGAGTCATGCCTTTGTGGTTTGGCTACGTATTATCGTTAAGGCCCGATTCCTTTGGGAAATCCATCCGAACACGTTACAGTGCGACCACACGGGTATTTATGGGATGCCTGTGGCTAAGTAATTTGTTTTCACATGGGAGTTGGTGTGCCAATGGTTTTGGAATGCCGAGGATGAGGAGACGAAGTGTTACACATTTTTGCCTATCATGGGTGTCTTTTTGCCTCTATTGTGGCGTGGTACCAGTAGGAGTGGGAGGCATCCTTGGTATTTCCTGAGTGAATGACGGCTGTCATTGTCTGATACTCGGCTATGGATCTTAGCCCAACTAGGTGGCATGCGATTTTCATGGGTTAGCTTTGAAAAGGCCTTATCACGAACTTCCGGTACCGGCCAGTACCGGTGTAAGTTTCGTGTCGTGTGGGTAAAGCGTGCAACCTCTGCAGAGATTAATGAACTGTTCGAACAGCCATGCTCATGGTCAAGGGCGAGTGTAAGGTGTTTCTCATAGCATAGATTTGTTTGACAATGGTTTGTGGAAAAGTGGTTACTGAAAAGGGAACGTTACCAGAGTCCGCCTGTGTGGCAGACGGCTAACCTTTGTGGTTAGGAACGGGTCTGTGTGACCTGGGGTGTCGTCCGACACCGAGGTGTTGTTAGGGCCATGATGGCGTTGATGTGCTGGGATAACCAGGAGATTTGTGTGGATTAGTGTTGTTGTGAAAGTGAAAAGGAACTAATAGAGGAGACAAAATATTTTTTGTTCGTTAATCGTGACAAGTTGTTGCAAAGCAACTTATGGAATGGGTCGAGGCGTGAGCCACCTCCCGACAACTAAAACTTGACTCACTCACTAGGAGTTTTGTGAAATAAATCACTTTGCCAAAAAGGTAGCTTTCGCAAATAAAACCGTAGCCTCCGTGTTAAACCGACATGTCATCCTTTTCCCCGGCTTGCTGAGTACGTTAAGTACTCACCCTTACCCCTTATAATAATCTATAGAGTTTGAAGACGAAGACGCCGACTCGACCACCAAGGAGTATTTCCAGGAGTAAGCCGAGTATGAAGACTTTTAGATGTTTTGTGCCTAGCCCCAAGCCTTGCCTGTGGAATAAGTTAGTTGCCTAAGTTCTTTGCCTAGTGCGTAGTCGCTTAGTCGTTTAGTTCTCCGCGCTGTTCGCTTCTGCGCCGTCGATTTTGTGGTTCTCTGTAATGTTGTGTTGCTCATCTGTGGGCCTGTCCATGATGGCAACGTTTGTAAGGACTACTACTCAGTGATGTAATAAAATAGTTTACTTTGATCCCACATTTATTCTGTGTGTACCAGCTAGTGTATCCTGGGACTGGTACTATATCATAGGTAATGCATAACACCCTGATGTAAGTTAGCTGTGTTTATAGCTAACGAATGTCGGGGCGTCACATGTCGTCTTCACCACTTATCTCCACCACCTACTTCCTCCACTTCCCTGGCGCTGCAGCTGCGCGCCGAATGTCACTCCTAACACGCCGTAAAGCTAGCTAGCCACCAAACCAACACCACCGTTGGATCTTCCTCCTCTATGGTACCCATGTCATCGCCAGGCGCTGCCCACAGTTGCCACTATGCCGGCTAGCTTGCGGCCGTCATGACCTTGTTGTTGGGCATTGCCCACCGCCGCATCTGCGCGGGTAGCTTCCGCCACTACGCGGCTGTCGCTAAGTCCAACGCAGCTACTCCCCGTCCAACTTCCGCGCCACCCGACTAGCGAGCCTCCGGTCACCTCCATCGTTCGCATCCACCACCAGTGCTCTACCTGTCAGATCCATACAAGCCACTTATGCCGACACCGTCTCCACGAATGAAATGAAGGAGAAGACACCACGTACCACCGCCGTTGACCTAGCAGACAAGCGCTTCCGCGGTCCGCTCCAGTGGCCTCGAGGAAGGTGGAGGCGGCTGCTAGGGTTTTTTTTCGAGAGAGGAAGAAT